AAAGATCACTTATTTACTGAGTTGAGTTCCAGGAAGAAAAAAAAAAATCTCAACTGGATTCCTTCAAGTCCCAGTTCAAGAGGGTCTGCCATCTTGGTGATGACCAGGCACAACATTTTTAAAAATTTATGCAGGGGATTATTTGTGCATGTTTGTGTCTGTGTGTGTGTGTGTGTGTATGTGTCTGTGTGCATGCGTGCGTGTGCACCGGGGATCGAACTCAGATGCTTTACCACTGAGCCACATCCCCAGCCCTTTCCATTTTTATTTATTTTTTTGCTCAGTTGCCGAGGCTGGCCTCGAACTTGCGATCCTCCTACCTAAGGCTCCCAAATCACTGGGATTAAAGGTTGTACCAGCATTCCTGGTTCCTTTGATGAATATCACCCACCATGAAAATGGGCTTTGCTCTCCTCCTCTTTCACTTGCTCATCTGATACAGAAGCCAGAAGACAAACTTCCAAGGGAATCACACTAGCTGTGCTCCTAACTGGACGGATGACCTTGGACCAGTCAGTTCACCTCCTACAGCATCAGGAAGTGACCAAGATAACTCTTACTGCATCAGAAAGTGACAGTAAACAAGCAAATTAAGACACAGAAGGTACTAAACATAGTGCCTGGTAAGGGATAAGCCCTCAGTAAATACTCTAAGTAAATACACTAAGTTGCTTAAGGACTTGCTAAATTGCTGAGGCTGGTCTCGAATTTGTGATCCTTCTGCAACAGCCTCCCGGGTTGCCAGGATTACAGGTGTGCACCACCGCACCCAACTCTACGGGGAATTTTTGACAAGAGCCTTTGAACCACCCACGATATTTTGGGGGATCATAATGAAAAGGAAGGAACCTAATAGATGCTGGGGACCTTTAAATTTGTACCTTAATCTAATGCTCATGATGACTCTTTAAAGGAAGTTCTACCACGCCTATTTTCCAAGAAATCAATGAACTTGCCCCTCATGTCATAACTGATGAGAGGTGGAACCAGGATTTAGATTCACATTATTCCTGAACCTAAAGCTCCTATTTTTCACTCCACATGGACCTTTAAGCCTATCTGAATTCGCAGAAAAGAAAGGTCTCTGCTTCTAAAGGAAACTCTCCTAAAGGGCTTCAGGGGAGAGACAGGCTCTGACACAGGCCTTAGGACAGAGACTAATTGAAGATGCTAAACAGGAAAGCAAGGATAATATAGGAGGAAGGGGAAGAATTAGAGTAAGTCCAGATGTGAGAAATACAATGTGGGTCAGGCCTTGCTGTGCAGAGCCAGGGAACAGTGGGGGACACGCTACTGGGTTGTTTTGTTTTGTTTTGTTTTGTTGTATCAGGGATTGAACCCAAGGGCACCGAGCCACTGAGCCACATCCCCAGCCCTTTTCATTTTAAATTCTGAGACAGGGTCTCACTAGGTAGCTTACAGCTTCACTAAGTTGCTGAAGCTGGCTTCAAACCTGCCATCCTCCTGCCTCAGCCCCCCGGAGCCACTGGGATTACAGGCGTGAGCCACCGCCCGGCACTGCGGGGCCTTTGAACGGCAGCCTAAGGAGTTTGAACTTCATCATATAGATGGAAAGAGTAATCGGAACAATTTAAGGTCAGAAAGTTGACAGACAGCATTTTCAGAAAGATGACTTTGACAGGTTAGGCAAGATGACTTGGGGAAGTGGTTCTTCACTTTGGCAACTCCTGAGAATTACCTGGAAGGCTTCTTTTTTAACACTTCATTTTGAAATGATTTCAGCCTTTCAAAAATGTTTCGAAAAAAATAGAGTCCTCATAGACTACCCTTCACTCAGCTTCCCCAGATATTAATGTTTTCCATAGCCACAACACCGTCATCAAAATCAATACCTTATCACTGATACCATACAGGGCACTAACCCACAGAGCTTATTCAAACTCCGTCTACCCTCCTTCCCACTCAGGTGTTCATCCCTGGATGAGGATTCCAACCTAGGATCACACATTGAGTTCAACTGTTTTGTCTTCTAAGTCTTCTTTAATCTGGGGAAATGCCTCAGAATTTCTTCTGTCTTCATGATCTTAACATTTATTTTATTTTTTATTTTTTGGTACCCAGGATTGAACCTGGGTACCAACAGGGTCCTTGGGACCTCACTGCTGAGGCTGGTTTTGAACTCGCAATCCTCCTGCCTCAGCCTCCTGAGCCGCTGGGATTATAGGTGTATACCACCGCGCCCAACAGATTTTTAACATTTATAAAGAGTACTGACCAGACCGGGTGCAGTGGCGCATCCCTGTAATCCCAGCAGCTCGGGAGGCTGAGGCAGAAGGATCGAGAGTTCAAAGTCAATCTCAGCAATGGTGAGGCACTAAGCAACTCAGTAAGACCCTGTCTCTAAATAAAATGCAAAGTAGGGCTGGGGATGTGACTTAGTGACCAAGCGCCCCTAAATTCAATCCCCAGTGCTAAAAGAAAAAAAAAAGTACTAAGTACTGACCAGTTATTTTGTCAAATGACCCTAGATGAGGGCTTGCCTAATATTTCCTCATGATTAAATTCAGGTGAGGCACCTTGGACAGGAATACCACAGATGTGATGCCGTGCCTTCTCAGTCTACCATATCAGGAGGCCCGTGACGTCACTCTCCCTCTCATTAGGTGTCATGTTAACTTGAGCACCTGGCTCAGCAGTTTCTACAATGTAAAGTGACTCTTTTACTTGAAAGCATTCTTAAACTACCAAGCCTAGGCCACACCAGAGATCAAACAAACCACATGGCCTCGGGGTCAGCCACAGGCATTGCCAGGTGCTAAAATGCCCCACAGGTGATTCTAACCAGCATTCAGGGTGGGAAACAGAGGGCGAAAATTAGAATCCTGGAAATCAGCAACCATGCCTTTTCTTGGGGCTTTCTTTTTCAAAGGGCATCCAGTTCCAGGCACAGATAAATATATGTGGACTTTGGCATGGACCCACAGTAGGAAAAAGGGAAGGCCCAAAATCCCCTGATTGGGAAAGTCATGGGAGAGCAGAGGGCTGTCCAATAAAAGAGGAGGCAGGAGGAGAGTTCACTTTACTATCATAAGCCTGACGTGAGCGCCCAATTGCCACCAACAGGAAGGGAGTCATATATCTTGATATAAATATCCAACCACACATGCAAAAGATGGACGTTTCCGGGTAGGGTGAAATGAGCAATCCACAGAATCCAGGTCAGCGGTACGTGACCCCCGGAAACAACCTGTCCCCTTCACTTGGTCTTTTGCCCTTAATCTCTTCTGAAGAGGGTATGGACCCTGTTGGAAATTGATGAAACAGGAAAGTGTGCACATCTCATGTCCTCAGGCTATTGAAGCAAGAAGCTAGGGGCCTCAACTTCCTCCGCCCCTCCTGTGGGGGCACCGTCTGATGACATGTCAAAAGAAACACCAATTTCACCCAAATTCACAGGGAGGAGAGCTATCCCTAAGGCGTCCACATGACTACCAGGCTCTGGCACTGCCTACTTCCGGAGGAACTGCTGCCAGGCTATAATTGGAAAAGAAGAAAAGAGAGCTCTTCCCACTCAGAGGGGTTTGGTTTTGTTGCTTGTGTTTGCTGCAGTACTGGAGATTGAACCCAGGGGTGCTTTACCACTGAGTCACATACCCAGCCCTTTTCATTTTTTATTTTGAGACAGGGTCTTGCCAACTTATTTAGGGCCTCGAGAAGTTGCCCAGGCTAGCCTTGAACTTGTGATCCTCCTGCCTCAGCCTCCTGAGTAGCTGGGATCATAGGAGTTTGCCACAAAGCCCAGCCAGAAACTACTTAAAAAAAAAAAAGTTCATGGCACTTGAATACCATGTGTGAGGCCCTAAGTTCCACCTCCAGTACAATAATAATAATAATAATAATAATAATAATAATAATAATTAACTTAATTATCCCTCAATTATTACACAGCCAATATCCTTCAAGTGAGGACATTGGGAGACTCTCCTATGGGGTCTCATTGATAGAGACTGACACATAATTAAATGCTAATACATGAGTGAAATAATTCATGTCAAGTGGGATCCACTGGGTCAGGAATGGCTCCCAAAGGTTTCATGAAAGAGGCCGGATTCAGGTTACGCCTTCGAATGGTTAAGCCTTAGAAAAGCAGAGACCAGAAGAGACATAAGCAAAGGGAACCAGGTGTCAGGCACGTTGTGGATGCTGGTTCTGAAGGGAATCTCAGAAATGAGACTGGGGGGGGGGGGCTGGGGGGGAGCTGGGGTGTGGCTCAGTGGTAGAGCACTTGCCTAGCACACATGAGGCACTGAGTTCAATCCTCAGCACCACATAAAAAAATAAAATAAAGTTTAAAAAAATGAGAGTGGGGGGCTGCGGTTATGTCTCAGCGGTAGAGCGCTTGCCTAGCATGTGAGAGGCCCTGGGTTCAATCTTCAGCACCACATAAAAACAAATAAACAAAATAAAGGTATTATGTCCAACTACAACTAAAAAAATAAATAAACATTTTAAAAAATGAGAGTGGGTTTGCATGTTATTTCATGTATTCGTTTCAACCTCCGTAGGGGGTTATTTCAGAAGAGGATGTTAATCCTCAGAAAGGTGAAGTAACTTGTCACCATTAGTGGAAGATCTGGAATTTGAAACTAGGTATGTCTAACGCCAGAGTCCTTGCCATGGTCACCACCACTGAGGGGAAAATGAACACAATGTATTTAGAAAACAGGAAGAAGCAGGGATAGCTATCACAGAACCACACAGTTAAGAAACTGGCAAGAGCCAGGCGTGGGGGTGCTGGCCTGTAACCCCAGCACCCTGGGAGGCTAAGGCAGGAGGATTTCAAGTTCCAGGCCAGCCTGGGCAACAGAGAGAAACCCTGTCTCAAAAAATTAAAAGGTCTGAGGGTGTCGCTCAGTGGTAGAGCACCCCTGGGTCCGATCGCCAGTACCAAAAACAAAATAAAATAAAAATAGGGAAGTTAGGTAAGTTTGCTAAAATGAGACCGACCGCATGTCATAAGGTCATGGAAACCATACAGAGACGTTTGAACTTGATCTTGTAATTGATTTCAGAAGAGCCATCGAAAAATCTGAGTAAGGGAGTAACCAAAAGGACACCTTGAGCAAAGACGAATGGGGGTGGTTAATATGGGAGTTTTGAGTTCCTCAACTAAGGAGGTGGCACTAACAGGAAAGGGGGCCTCAGGATGTAGGGAGTGTTCGCTGGACTAAGCAGCTCGGGGCTTAAGTGCAAGAAGGTGAGTTTACATTCTCTCTCCAGTCTTTCTTCTCTCCATCTATAAATCAAGTGCAGTGAGAATTAATCAAACGACTTCCAAAGCTTTACTTTTCAAAGTGTGGTCCTCCAGCCAGCAGCAATGGCATGATCCAAAAGCATTTTAGAAATGCAGAACCTCAGCCTGAGAGCATGGTGGCATGTATCTCTTGTCCAAGCTATTCAGGAGGCTGAGGCAGGAAGATCCTTTGAGCCCCTGGGTTTGGGGCCAGCCTGGTAAACAGAGCAACACCCCATCTCTATTACAAAAAAGAAAGAAAGAAAATCAGAATCTGCATTTAAATGATCCAAAATCACGTTGAAGTTTGAAAAGCACTTCTCTAAACTGACTTCCAATCCCAAAATGAAACTATTTCACACTCACCTCAATTCTGTCACTTCACAGGAGGGGGAGGGGGCCTGTTCAGCCTTCTTTGTACCCTTTGTACCCTTCTTTGTACCCTGATCCTAACAGCCTCTCTCTCCTGGTTGCCCACACCAGGCAGCCTTCTTAGGAAACACCAATGAGGCGATGCTGCCACCTTGTGGCCATGGTGTGCAAGTGCCCTTAACTCCATTTTCATTAGCCGAGGGGGAGGGTTGGAAGGGGGGTGAAGTCCAGTCCCAGGTGTGATAAGAGAATCACAACTGCACACAATGACTGCAAGTAACTGTCAGAGATTGAGTTCAGCCTGCACCCGAGAGCAACGTTACATTTAAAAGGTAGTTTTTATAATATCCAATAATGTGGTATTAGGGGAAAACTTGGATTCCCAGCCAGGTTCTGCCTTTGTAACATTAAAAATCATTGTGTGACAGCTGAACACAGTGTGGCTCAGCCTATACTTCCAGCAACTTGGGAGGCCAAGGCAGAAGGATTGCAAATTTGAAGCCAGCCTCAGAAACTTAGTGAGACTGTCTTAAAATAAATTTTTTTTAAAAGAATGGGATAGGTAGCTCAGTGGTGGAGCACTTCCTGGTTTCAATCCCCAGCATCACCCCACACATAAAGAAAAGCATGGTGACAGGCATTTTCAGTCACCCAGCCCTCCCTGAACTCTGCCAGTAAACATGTAATTTTCCAAGGAAACTACCTTTTCCTGTGACAGCTCCTTTTCTCCCTGAACCAAACAATGTACACCCACCAACACTAGTCCTACTCCGTTGCCCCCAAATAAATCTAATACCTTTTCACACAGCAAACCTTTGAATGCTTGCAAACAACGACCATGCACCAACCATGGCTTTCTCTGAGCCATTTTCCAAATGACATAATCAGAAGCCCTACAGCAAGTGAACCCTGGGAGTGTTCCAACCAGGCCAGCCAGGCACAGGAATACCTGTTTCCACACTGCACCCGTATTTAGAAAGTCACACACCACCTCAGCAGATTTGGGAGGAGTGATTTTTCCTACTTGTGCTGTTTTAGTTGCCCCATGCCTGCATAGGTTTATACTTCTTTTCTGGTCCTGGGGATTGAACCCCAGGGGCGCTTAACCACTGAGCCACACATCCAGGCCTTTTTATTTTTTTATTTGGAGACAGGGTCTTGCTAAGTTGCTTAGGGCCTCGCGAAGTTGCTGAGGCTGGCCTTGACTTGTGATCCTCCTTCCTCAGCCTCCAGAGCCGCTGGGATTACAGGTGTGGGCCACCTGCCTGGCTATCTTTCTTATTTAGTTTTATTTTTTAAGGGATATTTATCAGCCCCTGTGCACGGAAACAACAAAGAGGAAGTGGACCTGGTCCCTGATCACACAGACCTCAGGCCATGGAGGGAACCCAATTCAAAGCCAGATGCCTACAGTTCAGTGCCAAATATCAGGTTAGAGGTAAATGCTGCATTTTTGCATTCATTTTATTAATCCCTTGTGAAAAACCTTCCACTCCTGATTTTCTTGGTTCTTCCTTTCAAGCTCAAAGCGTAAAAAAAGAGACAGAGGGAGAGAGACTGTAAGTGTTCCAGATGGTCCCTTGCACAGTCACAATTAGACTGAGCATTTCTTTATGGCTAATGAGTGTGTCTTGGACTCCCACTTTGTTCTGAATATGCTGACTCTCCTATAAGGACATTTGGGTATGCGGCAGCATTTTAAAGAAAATCTAGTAAGTCAGGAAACCTGTTTTAATGTTGTGTCCTTGAGACTGACCAACAGCATTTAAGCTAATCAGATAACTTCCCTGCACTTTATTTTATGTATGTATGTATGTATGTATGTATGTATGTATGTTCTGGGAGTTGAACCCATAGGAGCTTCATCACGGAGCCACATCCACAGCCCTTTTTATTTTTTATTTTGAAATGGAGTCTCGCTAAGTTGATTAGACCTCCCTGCACTTTAACTTCTGCTTCTGTGAAGTGGGGCAGGGGAACACAACTCCATAACTATGCAGATTGCAGGAGCTGCTCAGAGATGGCTTCAAACCTTGCTCTGCTCGGTATCCAACATCTAGCAAATACCAGGTTCTCATCAGGCGCTCCAGCCTTTATTGATTAATGTCTGAGTAACAGCAACATGAAGCGTGGAGTTGGTCAGCAAAGATTCTTGAACGCTGGCCAACTGCAGGAATGAATGGGGAAACCAAATAGCCAAAGGAGAGTGGCGTCTGCTCCCTACTCTCACCTGTCTTCTTCCAGGGAGGAGACCTTTAAAAGTCAGACTCGGGGCTGGGGTGGTTGCTCAGTGGCACAACGCTTGCCTAGCACATGTGAGGTCCTGGGTTCAATCCCCAGCACCACATAAAAACTAATAAAACAAAATAAATGTATTGTGTCCATCTACAACTAAAATTTTTTTTTTAAGTCAGACTCTTTGGACACAACAATGTTCCCAAGATGGGCCATAAGGAGTTGTCAGTGTGTATGTGTGTGTGTGTGTGTGTGTGTGTGTTTTGAAGTTCTAGGGAGTGAACCCAGTGGTGTACAACAGCTGAGCTCCATCCCCAGCATTTTTTATTTTTTTATTTTGAGACAGGGTCTTGCTAAGTTGCCCAGGCTGGCCTTGAACTCGTAATCCTCCTGCCTCAGCCTCCTGAGTCGCCAGGATTACAGACCCGCACTACTGCGCCCAGATTATGGGTGCTTTACATCGATGAACCTGAAGGACCCTCAGCTCCCTCCCATGGTACACCCACCCCAAGTCCATGGAGGGGAAAACCATACTGAGAGAACTGACAGGGAGCCAGGGCCTGCGGGGACAGGGTAAACAGAGAGAGGGGACCTGGAGGAAGGTCTGAGGAGCTCCCTGGCCCCACAGTGACGTCAGGTAGACTGATGGTCAGGCCCCACGCCTACATATGCGCATTTCTCAGTAAGGTTTTTTTCCTTCTACTGAATTGCTTGTCCACACACCCTCCAAGGGCCTAGGTCAGGGGTTAGGGAGGATGATGGAGTGGAGTGGAGCGCCAGGCCCTGAGAATACCAAAATGAGCCATGGACAGCCGCTGCCCTGGGAGACTCCACCCTCCTGACGCTCCTCTGCCCCATCCCCCTCTCTGCTCCCCACCAGCCCAAATTCTGCCCCACACCATGAGACCGGCTCACGTGCCACCTGAACAGGGTCACTCTGTCTCCCGTGAACTTCTGCCGTCTCTGAAAGTTGACTCCACTTATACCTTTAGGTTTTATGAAGCATATGTTATCCCCTTGTTTAGACTTGGCCCCCTGAAAACAAAAACCACTTCTAGAATTTTCTAGAAAGAAGCCACACCAGTGGTTTGTATCAGGTCAAGCCAGAGCCTTGGATTCTGGGACAGTTTTCACTGACTAATCGACTCCCCTACACGACAATAGGCCAAGATGATTTGAAAACTGAGGGGGAAGGAATGGAAAAATCAAAAAGAATTTGACCCGTGCCTTGGGTCTTTCCTTCTCTTGGGATCCAGTGTCATCCCACCATCCTCCTAAGTGGGGGCTTCCAGGTAGGACCTCCTTGTCGTTTATTCCTTTAGCCTCTACAAATACCACCAGGCATTCACGCTGCATCTCTTCCCCTTCTTTGACACATTCCTAAAGTCTCCAGAACAGACACCAAGTTTGTGAGTTGCTAAAGTTCCACAACCGTCACAGACTGGATTGTGAATGACCCCCAAAGGTCCGTGCGTTAAAGGCTTGATTAGCCTGTGGTGCTATGAGGAGGTGGTGAACCCCTAGGAGGTAGAGCCCCCAGGAAAAAAGTTAGGTTGTCGGGTACAGTGGAGCAGGCCTGTAATCCCAGTGGCTCAGGAGGCTGAGGCAGGAGGATCGCGAGTTCAAAGCCAGCCTCAGCTGAGTGAGGGCCTAAGCAACTCAGTAAGAACCTATCTCAATAAAATATTAAAAAGGGTTGAGGAGGGCTGGGATTGTGGCTCAGCGGTAGAGCACTGGCATAGCACGCTTGAGGCCCTGGGTTCCATCCTCAGCACCACATAAAAATAAACAAATAAAATAAAGGCATTCTGTCCATCTACAACTACCAAAAAAATTAATAAATAAATAAAATAAAGGATTGAGTCCAACTACAATTTAAAAAAAAATAAAAAAGAGGCTGAGGATGTGGCTCAGTAGTTAAGTGCCTCTGGGTTCAATCCCCAATACCAAAAAAAAAAAAAGAAAAGAATTCTTTCACTGATCACTGGGATCACTGGGAGTGTGGCCTTGAAGGGGACATTGAGACCCTGGCTCCTTCCTGTCTCTTCTTCCTGGCTGCCAGGAGGTGAGCAGTTTCCTCCATCATCTCCTATGGCCCCCTCCACAGGCCCCAAAGCATCAGGAACAACTAGCCATGAACTGAAACCTTGAAAACCAGGAGCCAAAATAAACCTTCCTCCTTATAAGCCGATTATTTCAGGCCTTTCGTCACGATCATGCAAAGTGGACTATCACAATAACGCTCCACGTTTACTGTAAGTATTATTAACTTTCTAATTTTGCCCTGAAGCAGCATCCAAACAAGGTCAGTAGCCAGGAGCCCCAGCAGCCTGGGGCTGAAAGGCTCCTTCCCGCCTGGGATTCCTGTTTCTCCGGCCCTCTGGGACCTGAAGCCGGTTCCCTCTCCTTTAGACTGGAGCAGCTAAGCCCCAGCCATCTTCCTGATGAACAGCGAGGCTGGTCTTGCCCACTGCTCCCGGGCAGCATTCTGGGCAAAGGAGAACTGCTTCTTCTGGGTCCTGATCACCTTCCACGGCTAAAGAATAGTAAGAATGGTAAACAGAGGACCGGCCACTTCCCAGGCAGCGCCACTACCGCTGCCGATCCTTTGCCAGGAACAGAAATGAGAAGAGCAAGAGAAAACAGACGTGTCCTCCTCTCTGGTCAACCCTCAGTTCCCACTTTGTCACTAGAGACAGTCGCTGAAAGGTATAAGGAAATTTGAATAAGAAAAAAGTCTTGAAGATATCAGAGCACCCGGTGGGGTGGGCAGGTAAGAAGGAGGACCAGAAGGAACAGGTATTGCTGCCAAGTTATCAGTCACTTATGTGCTTAAGAATGCTGCATTTCTTTTGTTTGACGAGTTTTACCTCCCAGATTCCCGTAAAGCACCTGGTCCGGTCTGTTATCTAACCACAAGGGCAGCAGTGCCTTTCCTGTTCTTACCCTCCGAAGGGAACACCAGCCTGGGACTGAGGTGCTGACCACCACCCTGAGTGCTGCGCCTGGGCCTTCCCAAGAAATTGGGAACCTCTGACTGGGGCAAGCAGCTTCCAGCACCACCCACAGCCACCATGAAGGTTCTGATCTTGACCCTCCTGTTTCTGCCACTACTGCTGATGTCCATGGTCTCTAGCAACCCGAACTCAGGTAAATAAGATTGATTTTCTATAAAGGGGGGAGAAAGGGGGCAGAAAACGTGTTAAAACAGGCCACACATGTGTTAAAACGTAGCTCCTTTTGCTACGAAGATATTGTAAGGCCAGGGGCTGTGGCACGCACCTGTAATGTCACTACTTGGAGGATGAGGCAGGAGGACTTTAAGTTTGAAGCGAACATGGGCACCTTAGCAAGAAGTGCCAGGGGTATAGTTCGGTGGTAAAGCACCTCTGGGTTCAATCTCAAGTACAAAAAAAAAAAAAGATATACTGTTCTCTCTCTCTCTCTCTCTCTCTCTCTCACACACACACACACACACACACACACTAGCTCAACCAAGATTTCCCCTTCTCCCCTCCAACTCCTTTTCCAGAAGAGGAATAAATTTCCCCAGGGCCAAACTATGTGGCAGAGGTGACTGGATGTGAAGGTAAGTGTACACTCACAGAAGCTAAAGAAGTCCCATGTTCCTCATACTGCCCTAGAGATGCCACTGACAATTTTTAATGGTATTTAACGGTACTGTGGTAAAGCAGAAAACTGCGATTGCCAGGCAGAACCCACAAGTTCTAACCGTACCAAGCCCTGAAGCAGCTCACCTTCTGGGAAGCAGAGCTTTGGTGAGGCATAGCCAAAGTGGCTCAGCCCTGTGCACAGTGGAGAGCTTGTCCCCTTGTGTGTGTCTCCTCCAGAGCACCATCCCATCCCAGGGCTACTTGAAGTGCCATTGCTTGTACTGTGTTTGGCATTCCTCAGCCTGGGCTCCACTCAGACCTGCTTTTCCAGCCCTGAACCTCTGCTCAACACCAAGACTCTCTGCTCCACCCTGACTCCCTGCTGTTCCCAAAACAGGTTCTGCTGTTTTCCTCCTCCAGATCCAAAGCCATCTCCTCCCCCAAGCCTCCCTAGATTCCTCCCAGACAGATAGGGTGCTCCCCTCACGGAGCGGGCTCAGCCCTAACTTGACTCTCTTTTTGCATTGATCATATTCTGCCTGTATTGAAAGTGTTCGTGCGCCCTCCATCCCCTGCCCCTGCCTTCTAACTGTAACCTCCCTGGTGGCACAAATGGGCCATGTCCCTCACATTATCCAGCACAGGACACAGTAAATATTAGCCAAGTCCTCAGGTTTCCAAGTACAAAATATTGCTCCTTTGAGACTCTCTATACCAGAGTTTGATAGCAGCTCTATTGACATTTGGGGCTGAACAAGTCTTTGTTGTGGGGGCTGTTCTTTGTATTGTAATATGGCATCTACCCACTGGACGCCAAGAGTGGCCTCTTCCCTCCTCAACACGCTCCAGTTAAGAAATCTAAAAAAATGCTAGGCTGAGTCAAGAGGACTGCAAGTTCAAAGCCAGCCTCGGCAACAGCAAGGCGCTAAGCAACTCAGTGAGACCCTGTCTATAAAAATACAAAATAGGGCTGGGGATGTGGCTCAGTGGTTGAGTGCCCCTGAGATCAATTCCTGGTATTCCCCCCCCCAAAAAAAAAGAAAGCTAAAAATACTTCCAGACATTGCTAAATGTTTCCTGGCGGGGCAGGGGGGGGCATTGACACTCCCAGTGGAGAACCACGGCTCTATTCCAATAGTTCTTAAACCTGGTCACATGTTTAGATTCAGCATTTGAGTTATTAGGACCCAGATCCAAATACCAACTCTACCCACTCACTTTCCAACTCTCCACAAGTCATTTAAGTGCTTCGAGTCTCAGTGTCACCATATTAAAACACATAAAATAACCGGGTGCAGTGGTGCGAGCCTGAAATACAGCAACTAGGGAGGCTGAGGCAGGAGGATCACAAGCTCAACGCCAGCCTCAGCAACTTGGCGAGGACCTGTCTCAAAATAAAATATAAAAAGGGCTGGGATGTGGCTCAGTGGTTAAGTACCCCTGGGTTCAATCCCCAGTACCAAATATAACAATAATAATAAAACACATAAAATAACATTTATCACACGGACTTGCAAAGATTAAATGACCTACAACATTCATCTAGAAAGAGATTGTTAGCACAAAAGAACCAGGCTGGACACAAACTTCACATATCATTTCAGCCTTTTATTCAGGAACGATGGGCCCACTTTCCAGGTGGAAAATAAGTCACTGAACAAAGGAGGGGACTGGGCTTCTATAGGTTCTACTGAGAGGTGAGTTAGTTAATGAATGTGTCAGTTTGGGCACTCAGGAATTTGGGGTCTGTTTTACTGAGTGAAATGGGAGGGGGTTTGGGGTCAGCAGTCAGTATCTGGGATTTACTTACTGGAATGGATGGAGGGCACTGGTTGGTATCTGGAAAGGATTTGTTTAGCAAAGGATCAATGCTTTGGACACCTCCTCCCCAGGGCTTGTTTAATCACCAGGAAAGAATGTACTGGGGAAGGATCAACGCTCTCAATGTATGGCTTTCTGTCTCTCTCCCCTTTTCCCAGGCTTCACTATTTGAGGGGTTTGTCAGTTTCCATATCTAATAGAGGTCAATAAACAGACCAAGTGCAATTCGAAAACAGTTCCTAACACACGATGAACTGGGGAAGGCTCCCTGTGCCACCAAGTGTGGCTATCACAAATCACACCATGGACGGGGGCTGGGCTCCAGATTTGCTTTCAGCCAAGCAATTTTGCAATCCTGCCAAAGTCTGAGCCAATTCATAATGGAAGGAATGACACCTCACACTGTCCAAAACAATTCTCAAAACAAAATCTGATCTTACTTTATCTTTTTTTTTTTTTTTTGGATACTGGAGATTGAACTTAATAACTGAGTCACATCCCAGGCCTTTTGCTAAACTTTGTATGTTTTAGACAGGATCTCACTAAGTTGTGTAGGGCCTTACTAAGTTGCTGAGGCTGGCTTTGAACTCCTGATCCTCCTGCCTTAGCCTCCCCAGCTGCTGGGATTATAAGTATGCACCACCGTACCTGGCTTTACTTTACCTTTGAAAATAACTACATCTGTGCTTTTCAATATGCTTTTCCCAGCAGAGAGGGAAGGAAAAAAAATGTGAGAGTATTAGGAAATAAGTTACTTATAATAACAGATTATTTACTTCTTGTAATATTACTTATTTATAAAATTGCTTATAATAATACCTTACATGTATTAAGCACTCTATGTTGCCTGGCTCAGTGTGGCTCACGTCGGTAATCCCAGCAATTTGGGAGGCTGAGACAGGAAGCCAGCCTGGGCAGCTTAGACAGGCTCTGCTTCAAAATAAAAATAAAAAGGGCTGAGGTTGTAGCTCAGTGGTAAAGTACCCTAGGGTTCAATCCTCAATACTGCACATGTGCATGTGCATGCGCGCGCGCACACACACACACACACACACACACACACACACCCTCCTGTGTTGCAGGCTTTGTTCTAAGCGCTCTACACAGACAGCATTAATTCACTTTGTCCTCATAGATCTAATGAATTTTTTTTCCTTTCATTTCTCATACTTTCAAAACTGTAAAAATAGATTTCCAGTATATCCTTCATCCACTTTTTTTAAAATATTTTTTTTAGTTATACATGGACACAATATCTTTATTTTGTTTATTTATTTTTGTGTGGAGCTGAAGATCGAACCCAGTACCTCACATGTGTGAGGCAAGTGCTCCACCACTGAGCCACAACCCCAGCCCTCCTTCATCCACTTTTTTCAAATAACTTCTTATATAACCATAATACGATTATAAAAATAGGAGATTGGCACTGATACAATAATGTTAACTAATTCACATTTAAATTTTTGTTAATTATCCCATGTATGTCCTTTTTCTAGTTCAGAGTTTGATTCAAGATCCTACGCTGAATAAAAGTGCTCTGTCTCCTTGGTATCCTCCAATCTAGGGTAGTTTCCCAGTCCTTCCTTCTTTCATACCTTGATGATGATGATGATGATGATGATAATAATAATAATAATAATAATAATAGTATTAGGGATTGAACCCACTGAGCCACATCCCCAGCCCTTTTTATTTTTTATTTTGAAATAGGGTCTCACTAAATTACTGAGGCTACTCTCTAACTTCCAATCCTCCAGACTCAGCCTCCCAAGTCACTGGGATCACAGGTGTGCACCCAGCCCTTGAGATTATTTTGAGGAATACTGGGCAGGTATTTTGCAAAATGTCTCCAGTTGGGTTCATCCAATGCTTCCTCATGACTAAGTTCAGGTTATTCATTTGGGGCATGTGTCAGCTTTTCATCACTGTGATCAAAATACCTGACAAGAACAACTTAGAGGAGGAAAAGTTTATTTGGGGCTCACAGTTTCAGAAGTCTCAGCCCATGGCTGGCCAACTCCATTGCTCCCAGTCTGAGATGAAACAGAACATCATGGTGGAAGGGTATGGTGGTGGAAAGCTGTGAGCCTATGACAGCCAGAAAGAGGGGGGACAGAGAAAGAGGAGCCAGGGACAAGATATAGCCCAAAGCCACAGTGACTGACTTCCTCCAGCCACGTCCCACCTACTGACGATTATCACTCAGTACTCAGTCGTCTATTCAAATTAGTAATCTACTGATGAGGTTCAGATCTCATAATCTAATCACATCACCTCTCAACATTCCTGCACTGCCTGACACGTGAGTTTCTGAGAGGACACTCAAATCCAAATCATAACAGGGCAAAAATACCACAGAAGTGATGTGTCCTTCTCAGTACGCCACAGAAGGAGACTCAGCATGCGACCATCTCTCGTTGCTAGTGATGTTAATCGGTTAAGGTTGTGTCTGCTAGTTTTCTTGACTGTAAAGTTACAGTTTTCCCCCTTGTAATTAATAAGTGTTCTGTGGAGAGATACTTGAAGACTGTGCAAATATCCTACTCCTTATCATAATACTTTTACCCAATCAATAATTTTTTAAATTCATTAATGACTCTTACCTACAACGATGATTACTGTGGTGTTAACCACATAGTGATTTTCCATTTCCTTCATTCCTTCTACATTTAGTCATTGGAATTCTACTATAAGAAAGAGCACCGGGCACAGTGG